ATCATTTCTTTGTTTAATTGTTGTACATGAGAAGACACATGAATATGGATATGACTCAAACAAAGAATATTCTTCCCGAGAGAGTAATCCAGTACCGTTCGAAAGCTGGATTTTCATTGCTCCCTATTTACAGTACTGCTTTTGTAAGGTTAGGTTTAGTGCTATTGTTTGGATGACCAATCTATTGTTTTTAATCCAATCATATAACTTGTTCCGAGCGGTACAGGCTGGCTCTCCAAAGAGAAAGACACAGAGTATGAAATGGGAAAACATTATGCCCAATCTGATCTATTGCACCGATTCGAGAATAAATAATCATGATTGAGTGGTTGGGTGCATCAGTTTATGGGTGATGAATGTTGTCCTCACCACATTTGGTGGTTGTTAGGATTTTAAATTCTGTAGTGATCATCATCTGCACCCAACCACTGATACAAGCTAAGATATTTCATACTAAATTTTTATGATGCACCTTTGTCGACTAACAGAACATGGACTTCAAAAACAATGTTCATCAACAATAAACCAAGAAAATTATATTTTTTGTTCTATCTTATATGTTTATCTACTAAAAGTAAAGCAAATTCTGGCTATGAGTGTACCTGTTTCAGAAGCCTCACGAAAGCAACTTTTTGCAAAGGCTGTATATACTGGATCAACTCTTTTTCTTCAGTTGATTCCATAAATTTACAAATCTCATCCACCTTGAAGCAGAGTTGTAGAGGATGGAAGTCTTTCTCCATGGTTTGATACAATGTCTGCAGCTGTGGCATAACGTGCTGCAGCACATTGCTTTTCAGCTTTGGATGGAAAACAGAAATGTTGTTAGTTCAAAACAACATCTATAAAGAATGGAATAATGAAGTAGAGTTAATCGTTGTTTTTCTCCTGTGATTTAGAGGTTTTTGTCTGGTTCCTCTTGATTAATCTCCCTCTACAAAAATCAAAGCCTGTATTGCTTTATTATTTTATTGTAGTCATGTTCCCCTCATTCCATGATGTAATTGAAATTTAGAAGTTGATTTTTGATTGCAACGCAAATGGCTTTGAACGCATACTCACTCCTTTCCATTTGGGATGCGTTTAGTAAAACTACATGTAAACGGAACATGGATCATAGAAAATTTACTTTTCAAAACTATTTACGTGCTGGTTAGAATAGAGGTTTTGCACCATCACATGCCCACGCCTATAATACAGCTTGGACTGCCTGTGGTTAGATAGCAGAACAATAAAATCCCTTTACTCTCTGAAACTGAATTCTTTCTTATATAAGATGATTGTATTGTTCCTGCCATCTAATATGGTTGCCGTCATTTGGAGGTGCTAATCCTCTTTATTATCACAAATGGCAACATCTGATCTCACCATTTCTTGTATCAGAGTCTCTCTTGTTGGTATGGTTTGTGATCCAAGCAGAGCTGCAAGTCTCCTTTTCTTTTCACGTGCAGCTTCATCAAGCTCAAGGTACTTTTCTGTGTCACTAAGGGCTACAGGAATGGGTATGGCCAGTGTTGACAGCAAGACATGAGATGAAATCCTAAGAATTTAATAAATCATATACTTTGGAAGTGTTGTCAAAGTCATGAAGAAAACAATTTAAATTAATTTAAATTAAAAGTCGATCAGTCACCAGTCATGATAACTGGTAAGATTAGTTTTATCTCAGTCATACCTCATTTCTGGCTCAACCATACTAGTCATAATGACTGGCAAGGCAAAGAATTGACCTGACAAGTTTAAATTCTGGACAGATATTGTCCAATGACTAGCTGAATTTTTAACCCTACTGTACATGACTCATTTTTTCAACCCCCTGAACTTGTAAGAATCCTTTAAACTATTACTAGATGAGCATACTTTTGTATTTCTTCAGGGGTAAGAGTTTTCTTCTGTTCTCTCAACAACAAGTACGACCTCTGCTGGGTAGCTGCATGGAAGAGATAATTGCCAGACTTCCAAAACACCAGAGCAACTTTCTGGTAGTAGTTAGCCATTACTTGAGGTTTGGGCTGCCGTTTGGACAACTGCATCATCCCATGGACATCTTCTACAGCCTTGAAGGCTTCCTAAAAAAAATAGATCATCAAAAATACCAACAGTCTGACAGTCTGTGTGTAGTGGCACAAAAGTTGTTCAAAAAGTGCTTCAACTTTCTTCTCATTGCTGTTCCATTGTCCTGTTTCAAAGGATCAACCCTACCTACAGTACAACAGTTCCATACTGATTACAATGCCACACACAGACAGTTTGTTAGACCACAAACAAAAAAACAGTCTGCAATGTTTTAAGTTGCCTGAAAGCTGTTTGACAAATGTTTTCCTCTCATTACTGTCCAGCAGTAAGGGGATAACTTACCTGCCAAAGTTCCATACTGATTGCACTATCCAGTTGGGCCAGTCTTGTTTCTAGGTGCATTTGAATACTGTCCACGTTGTTCAAGTTGACAGAATTAGGTTGTCCCTGGTGCTTTAGCGTAACATTTAGATGGTTACGTAGCTACAACGAAACAAACATAATACACAAAGCTTTAAAATACTTCATTCTTTAATCTATTTACATCAATTTCATAAACCTTGCACAATATTGTTCAGACACTTACATTATCGCACAATTTCCGGAACTCAGTTCGGCGGGAATATTCCATCCCAAATTTGAAAGCTGAAAATTTGAAAACATTTAAACTAATTTAGTGTATGGTAATGTACTAAAATATTTAATCAAGAAATACATGTTTGGCATAAGAAAAGACAGTATATGTAATAAAACAATCTAAGAAATCCCCTAACATAGGAATATTAATTGAATGAGTAAAGAAGATAAGTAAAGAAATGAAAGATTATTACTTCAGACTGCCTTACCTTGCTGAGCTGTGTCATGGTACAATTTTTCAACACGAACATTATTTCTAAGCAGCTCTAAGACATTTCTATATGCTTCCCACAAAAACTTGACCCATGGTGTAAGCTTGATTCTATCTGTCCTATCTTGGGTATCCTCTCCACTCACAAAGCTTAGCAATAGACTGTAAAACAAAAGCAGTACATTAGCAATTTTCAAATTTTCTTTTCTAACAGCCTGACTGCAAATTGTTGGAAATGTCCTTGGGAAGGATTATTTGCAAGTTAGTTTGTTACCGTTACCGCTGAATCAGGATTCAATTCTGTTCTTATAACTCATGTAACTGCTCAAACTGGGGTCCTAGGCATTGTGTTGTGGGTGCCAATCAACAATTTGTCAACACAAGTGAAGCGAGTCATGACCCATGTCAATGCTCAAACTGGGGTCCCAAGCAATGTGTTGTGGGAACCAATCAATATTTAGGAAACCCTTGTCAACGCAAGTAAAGTGAGTACTTGATGCATTTTTCAGTCCTATATTGCATGAAATACACAATTTCAGCATTTATGTAAACCTTGTGTCATTCCCTAGAGTATCATTTCTTTGTTTAACAGTTGTGCTCGGTTGCACATGAGAAGAAACACGAATATGAATAAAAATCAAACGAAGAATCCTAATCTCAAGGGAATGACACATGGTCTGAAATGAAAAAACATTACGCCCAAGATGAGGAGGTCTATTATACGTGTATGACAAAACTACAAGAGTTTTTTTTACCTCTCTGGCGTCTGTATCTGATCCAAATCATCCACATCATCTTCTACCTCCAGCCTTGATTCTGCTTTAGCATCTTCTGCTCTCTTATTGGCAAGCTTGAGGAAATACTGGATGACGTCTTCAAGAGAAGCAATATTGACTTGCTGGCAGATGAGTTTGTACTGGTATAGCCCCTCCTTGGCGACATGGCTGCGTCGTAGGTCTACACACAGCTCCAGGTACTTAAAGAGGATAGGTTCATGGATCTTGTTCTGCCATGTCCTGTGCTTTTTGCTCTTTATGACATCATAAAGGACGTCAAGAGCAGGCTCTTTTTTTCCAACTTCAATAAACTCTGTCAATCAAGAAATGTCCGGTTAGAACTTTACTTAGGTGTAGGACCCTGTGTGTTTTTGCTGTCTCCACAAGGAGACCAAGTTCCATTTTTATTTCAATATATCACAGAAAATCTCAGTATAAAAATATCAGCATACTGACACAAAACTGAGTAGGACTAAGAATCAAAAATTATCTATATATATTCCTTCCACATCCGGGTAGTTAATGAAAAAAAAGGAATATTTCAGTCGAAAATTAGCGTAAAAAGACAGGGTTTATACGTCAAAATTATTGCCCCTTCTTAAAAATCATAAGGATAACGAGGAATCCTAAAAGATATAGTAAAGACTTGTAGTAAGACTGTGGCGAACACAGACGTGTCATAAATCAAATGGTAGTCTGACAAAGATGAGATTTACGACGAGAATTTCGAGTCAAAAAGCAACTTTTCACCCATATATTTTACTATATACGATTGTTAAAACAATACGTACCATTTGCTCTTTTCAAAGCGTTCTCAGGGCGTTGAAAATACGTCGGCATTTTGCCTTTTTTTGCCTCTTCTTCCCACGAGGACAAAAAATGGAGGATCCCTCGTGTCGAAACAGTTCGTGACTACGCATGCGCGGCAATGTAACGGAGAGGACTATGGGTAGAAAGATATAACTAGCTAAAAACTAGTGTGAGCTGCGTCGGTGTTTCTAATGAAACAGTAATGATGAAAAGGTAAATTATACACCGTGAAAAGATGAAAAAACTTACTTTTCACGGTGTATAATTTACCTTTTCATCATTAGAGGACTATGGGTACGAGTTGATGAAAATGGAGAGTACGCGTAAAGACAATGAAAACTGTTTTGTTTTTTTTTTTTTTAAATACTGACAGTTTAAATCTGAAGAATGAAGGCCGAAGCTTGAGAAATACAAAACACTGGGCAAGGAATATAAGAAGCACAATTTTCGGAAAAAATAGATACAATAAATTTATACTTCAAAAAGCTTCGTTTTCAATAATAAATACTGATGCGCATAATCAAGTTATTAATTACCCCCTCAGTTATTCTTATCCTTTCTGACGGTCCTTTTAGTGTGTATCGTTTGGTGAGAAAATGAGACACGGTAATTTTGGTTTGTACTTCAAGTTTGCGCGTGAATCATGCCTCACTACATTTTAAACGCATCCCAAATGGAATTAAAGGACTGAGTATGCGTTCAAAGGCATCAGCGTCACGATCGATATGTTTGAGTGTGCTGGCTGCTAGCAAGGGGTTAATCATCTACGGTCTAGGGGCCAACTAACCTCTCCCGTTGGCTTCGGCCGAGCTTCCTGATCAGTCTGTAATTCGGATAGCGCCGGGTGTCGGGGTCGAAATCTCCGGCGTAGCCGTAAATGCTTCGCGCTGCCATACGACGGTTCAGCACTCGATGTCTGGAAGTATGGTCCTTTTTTCAATAAATCAAAAAGTGAAAATCCCAAAATATTCTTTCCGTAGAGGGTTTGAAATAGATCAAATTTACTATAATGCACTTTTCGTTTAGTTTTACTAAACGCATCCCAAATGTAAAGGACGGAGTATGCGTTCAAAGCCATCAGCGTGGTTACAATCAAGATTTTTGAGTTTGCGGTCTAGGGGCCGACTAAGCTCTCCCTTAGGCTTCGTTTGAGCTTCCTGACGAGTCTGTAAATCTTCGAATATATATAGCGTTGTCGGGGCAGAATTCTGCGCGGGCGTAGCTTATGCGCGTCTCGAACAGGTTCCTCACAGCAGATTTTTCTAACCACACTTTAACTAGCTTTAACTGTACGTTATATTTTTGCTCTTTATTTTATTTATTCTTGCAAAACAATTTACATCGAATTATGATTATATATCAATTTTTGACTTAGTTTGGCGTAGGTGTTTTAGCTGGTGTTTTTTTTTTTACTATTTTTGTCGCGAATATACACTATTTTCGTTTTCTTACTGATAATCAGATTTCACCGCGGCAAGGTCACAGCAAGTCATGATTTTATATCAATTTTTGACTTAGTTTAGTGTGGTTTTTTTTCTACTATATTCTTGTCGCGAGTACTTTTTCTTGTCCTATTATTCTAACAACAGTTAAAGATATTAGAAGTGCTTATAATAGAGAGCAGATTTCATGCACCACGGAGGCTCACGGTAAGTCAATGACGACACTACTGATAGTTTGTTAGATTTTGTTCATCTGTAACTTCTCGTTTTGGTTTGTGTCCCTGGTAAAGAAACATGGCCCTAGCAGTAGAACGTAAACGGCTCCGTTGAGACTAACATTATATATTTAACAATTATTTGCCCAAGGCGAAGTGATTATCGGTGGAATATTACCATAATCACTGAGCCTGAGGGAAATAATTGTTTTAGTATAATTTTAGACTTGAATATCAGAGAAAAGTCGAAATTCAGGATAAAAAAACGTTTTAGAATTACTTCCGATCTGGAACTTTAGAAAACCTTATAATCACCGCTCCAGAATCATCGGTCGCTCGACCAATCAGAATCATCGTTCGCTCGACCAATCAGAATAATCGGTCGCTCGACCAATCAGAATCGTCGTTCGCTCGACCAAACACAAACTCTAGATTCAAGTCTAAAATTATACTTCAACTAGTTACTGATGTTAGAGAAATAACACTGAATATCAGTTATATGATATAAATTGGTGTGCACCTTGATAACAATGCAGAATTAATCTTACTTTGTTAGTAGATTAATCAAATTCACTAGGCTCTTGAAAAGGATACCATAATTTCTAGAATGTGTGGACTTAGCCTCACATTTGAAAATGAAAACCAAAGCAGAAATTAGAATAACAAAGTTAAACAAGAAACTCCTGGATTTAAAGCCAAGCCCGCATATTCCAGAAATTATGGTATTTATAAGAGTAGTGAATTGATGTCACTATGCCTATAGTTTTAAGTTTAAACGACTTATAATATCCCCAAATGCATCATTTTCACGATCATATCGTTATAACTGATTTCTAGATATGCTGTTTTCTTCACTTCATTTCAGGTGATTTTTTATTTCTTCCACTTCTATCTCTTATTTGCCCTTTCTGTCCGTTTTTTCTTTCATTTTTCTTTTCATTTGGTTACGAATAAAGTTGATAAAAAATATGACGTCATACGCAGAAAACAATGCATTCTGGGAGCGTTTTAAAGGCAGAATAGATTCGTTAAATAGTTCTTGACTGGTGACATAATGTGCAAATATATTTGTGGTGTCTATACGTCGCCCTTTCCTGGTGGAATAACTTAGACGTATTACGTGTTTTTTATGCAGGTGCGACAAGAAATATATTCTCTTGTGTGCGATCATAGTGTAATTGCGTGCGTTAACAGCGTGAAATAATTGGTTCATCGCATTTCGTTTGGTTTTTCCGCTAAGCTCTTGCTGCGTCTGTACTCTGTGAGTTGTCTTGCTGAGTGTCTTCATTAATGACTAAAGACAGACGACCTAATGGAAGAATGAAACAAGGCCGTAAGGGCACGGTATCAAGGGTATTAGTGAACGATGCTGTCTGGATAGATGGAGGAGAACAGATGAAATAGATGAAAAGCTTGAGGAGGAGAGGAAATGGAAAAATGAAGGTAGAAAAACGAAAAATAGGGAAATAGAAAAAAGTTTTTCGATTTTCGATTTTCGATTTTCGATTAACTGACGATAATAATCAGAAAGCAGAGTCCTAACCTGGCTCAGTATGATCGTCAAGTAGAAGTTCATCTTCGCTGTCGTTTATGTCCTCTGTCTCAGGCACAGCATACCGGACAACATCATCATCGGCATTGTACCCAACGCTTTCCTGTCCACCTGGGTGTAGGGGAATAAATCCATCCGGCCTACTACCGTTCATCGACAAGCGACTGTATCTTCTGTATATCCACATGTATCGTCTGAAAAATGTGAAGGGGCCAGGGACCGTGAGATATTTAAAGGGAGGCACTAGCGTAGGGAGGGGGGGCACGTGACCCCCAAAAGTTTGCTTTCAGCACCAAAATGTTATTGATTCATGCGGGATTCCCGTGGATTTGACGGGAGAATGGTATACATTCCCCCCACCCCAATCCCCACCCCCCCCCCTCCATATTCGAGACCTCACTACGCCCTAAAGGGAGGCAAGCCTCGCATCTCCACGCAAACACCAGCAGGGGCGGATCCAAAATATTCCTATAAAAGGGTGCTGAAGCATTCTTGGCAAAAATACGGTAAAAACCCGGTTATATCCCCTGGGCTTATATATTCGTGATGTTTGTAACGGGAAGGAAAAAGAGTTGGGGAGGTAGAGGGAAAGGTTGTTTCTTTCCTTTATGTTCCCAGTCAATCTCTTATGTTTAATCAACGAAATGAACATGACAAATACTATGAGTTTATACGGTACCGGATTTAACCGAACAAAAAGTTGTAGGGGTTCCGTTCACACGGGACTGAGCTATCTTAAAATTTCGTACGTCTAGCCCTGCAAAATTTGAATCCGGTTCTGTGTAAACAGAGCGTATTTTTTAAACGAATAAAGAGACGGTTCTGTGTAAACAGTTGTGTGCGGCACAAATATTTGACAGTTGAAAAATCGTCCGGTACCGTGTAAACGCAGCCTAACCCTTAATCCAAATCTCATGGGCAAAATCTATTAATTCTGGTTATTATTACCTGTACACATAGAATATAATCCCAACTAGAAAGATGACAATGAAGCCGGCTGCCAGTCCTATAGCAATGGCCAGACGTGTGTCCTGGTTACCCTGCTTGTCGTCAACAGCAATAGGCTTCTTGCCTAAAAGTGGATAAAGCAAATTAATTTATTGAGATATCCTTCAAATAGTTCATAATGGAAGTGGGAATAATTTGGACACGGCACGGTCACCTATTGAATTGACAATACTAATTAAATCAGTCATAGCGTGCAATTTTCCTTTATCGGGGGAGGGGAGAGGAGGGCGTGAACCCGGTGAAAACTCTTGAAGCTTATGATACGTTTACGGTAGGAATGGTTTTGTATGCTACCGTATCTATTCTGCTACCTAGCTGTATCAATGTAACCCACTTCATGACTTCATTCTTAATCCTTCAAATTTTGAGCTATTATTTAGCATCCAACCAGTATTCGGAGGGTCTGGGTTCCTTTTAGCTAGAGACAAATGATTTCTATAGAGGCTTTGCACCATCACGTGATGGCAGCCATGACAGGAGGCACAACGACAGAGCATTTTCCCCCTGGGAAAGTTAATTCTTTTTCTTTTAAATCAGACTAGACCAGATTAAACTGTTCCTGCCTCCTGTCATGGCTGCCATCACGCGATAGTGCAAAGCCTCTATACTTATCTCCTAGCTCATTAAAATATATATAATATATAATTTATTTTATTTGAAACTTGCCTCCACTCCTTCCTTCTCCTAAACAATCCTCCCTTCTTTCATGTACGAACCATCCCTTTCCTCCCATTTTATTCCCATTTCCTTTCATTATCTCATGATAAATTCCATGCTTTATTCATAACATTATACAGCACCTGAATTATCGAGGAGCTCAGCATAAACAGCCGCAGTAGACTTTCCTTCACTTAATTGTATGACAAGACGCTTTTGTTTGATCACTACCTTGATTCTGTCCACTATCTACAGAAATAAAACAATTTATAGGGGTTAAATTAATTTCATTAGGTCCAGAGGAGGACACGCTTTATCAAACGGACAGCTAATTACACGGTCTCGCCCAGGGGGTGTACTCGGGTGGGTAACATGACGAGGATGTCCGACGTATTTTTTTGGGTTGACAATTTTCGTCGTTCCCGGTATTTCTTTGGGTCAAGAGACCAGCCACGTATTTTTTTAGGTCTCGAAATGAAACCCGTATTTTTTGGGTCGTCATATCTCTGAGTTCGATTTTTGTATCAAAAAATTATTTGATTGATTTTTTATCAGCAAGGCGTGAGTAAGTTCCGTAAAGAAACACACTGATAACAATAAAAGAAGACAATACAACGTTATTTGTAATATGTAATCTTGTTTACTTTCCCTTGGTTCCATATTAATTTATTACACGTCAATCGTTCATGTCTTGTATTTTTTGGTGTCAGAAATTTGGATGCCATGTATTTTTTTGGGTGTAAAATTTCAGGTTTGAGTATTTTTGGGGGGTTGCAATATGAAGCTCCGTCAGACCCCCCCCCCGTCATGTTACCCACCCGAGTACACCCCCTGGGCGGTCTCGTAATTTTCTTCTCGTACTTTCTGTACAACAAGCCTCTATTCGTAGTTCAGACTCATACAGTAGCAAACGTTGCAGCAGTTTTCTCAGTGGAATTAAAATCTTGTCCCACAAACAACTACACAGTATCTGTTTTAAAGTATGCTACATTTACAAGGATTACAAGGCAATTTTCTATTCTTTTCGCAGGACATGAAATAATTGAAACAATTTATGATTTATTTGACGCAATCAGAGTTTTAAATTCTGAGATATTCAAGCTAACTTGTTGAGCTTGTGGGACATAGCAACGGTAACTAGGGGGAGTCGGAACTATAAATTCAGCAAATAAAACCCTCTTTTGAACATTTACCAGGCAAGGCCCCCAAGGTGTCTGTTTAAAAGGGGTAACAATGTATTTTGCTTAAGTGTATATCAAAAAAAAATTTTTTTTTTCAAAATCACTTATATGTGAACAGTGTAGTAGTATGGTTGCCGTATTTTTGTATGTTAAATTATCTTTTTGGAAATATAAAAATTTGAAATATCAATATGCAAATGAGATGACCTAAATTCAAGACTAATTTACAATACAAAAATGCTGTTGTGGAAAGTACAGATTTTTAAAAAAACTTTCATCCTAATAACTGAAATATGTGGTTTTGTACACTTTTAGTTTATTTCACTTCAGAACACTTGTCGTAAATTACACTACAAAATGTAACACATTCTGGAATTTACGTCATCTCATTTGCATATTGATATTTCAAATGTTTATATCTCATACAAGAAGACCACATAAGCTGTTCACAATAAGTGATTTTAAAAACGAGAATTTATCCCTAGATATACCCATTAAGCGAAGGGATTGGACTTACTTGGTCCATTGTGTGGTTGTCATTAGTGTCTTTTGGTTTGATGGACACGTCAACTTGTGTCGGTAAACCAGGAAGTACGTACACCTCTAGCCGAGATTTGGGAATAAAAACAACCTGGTAAAGGAAAATATTATTTCTGCTAATTATCATCATCGTCATCATCCCCAGCATCATGCAGCCGCAGAATCATCATCATCATCCTCACCATCCCGGCCCACCTCATCATCATCATCACCATAACCAACTATAACCATAACGATTATCAAAAATATTTATCACCACCGCATCACCCTCATCATCATCATCATCTTCGTCATCATCACCCTCATCCTCGTCATCCTCGTCATCATCACCATTATCATCGTAATCATTATCGTCATCATCGTCATCATCATCATCGTCATCATCATCATCATCATCACCATCACCATCATCACCAACTCCATCATCAATCAGCTTGTTTTCATCATCATCTTCAGCATCAGATCATCATCATTACTATTATTAGCAATATCATCACCATCATCATCAGATAGAAATTGCCATAGGCAATAGTTATAGGCATAGTTACATACGCTTGTCAGCTTAGCCAAAAACATGTTCCTGAATTCATCTCTCCACTTCTGCGAGTCCTTGTATTCGTTGTCAAGCTCATCGTCAAATGATATACGTAAAGTTCGAAGATCGTCTAGGAAAAAGAATAGTGGAATGACAATTCCATTATTAAAAAGAAATATATATATAAAATAACGGCACGCATTTAAACCAATCACTATCCGCAATATCACTGCTCAGCCAATCAGAATACTCGTGCAATGTCACGGTTGTACGTCCGTTCTTAAGTTTTTCAGTCACTCGACATCTGTTTTATTGCGCTATATAAAGAAGTACTTACCGTAAACATGGATCGTAACTTGTCCGTACTGCCTGCTGATAGCATTGATGGCCTCTACTTTAACCGTGTACACGCCTGCCTTGGTAAAAGTATGTTCTACTTCGTTTTCCCATGTTAAGTTAGGTCTCTGCTTAGGTTCGAATGTCCAGACAAAGTGCACATAGCCATGCTCTGCTACCCAGCTCCGTTCAGTGTGCTGAGAGGATAAGGTTATGTTGAAGGGAGCGGGCTGTCCGATCAGGACGGCATGCGGGGGAGTTATGAGAACACGGAGGATCGCATCTATAATGAATACAAGCAAACGTAGAATACTTCACTCGGCTGTTGAAACCATTTTATGGAAAATCATACAGAACTATGTATTCGATTCTCAAAGTGCTCTTATCCAATCGAAATGCACTAAAATACACAAACAGACCAATCAGAAATGTAAAGTAAGAAAACCCACACCACGGCCATCCGGTCACACTACTTGCTCTCTTCAGATGAGGCCCCTGGTGTGCAATTGAATCAAACCCACCCTCGCCAGAATTCGGCAGGCGATCCTTGTTGGTTTTGATCGGGGACGGTGAAGGTTGGGGCAGATGACCAGATCCCAGACTAGAACCATCCACAGGCTACCCAAACCCCAATCTCCATCACTAATAGGTACATGTAGTGTCAAATACGGCCAAATACTGCTAACTTCTAAGCTTTATCAGAGTAGTTAAACCAAACTTTAACATTACTAACCTATGACTTGGACAACAATCCTAGTACTGGTTGTGCCCATACTGTTGGATGCTGTGACTGTCACGTTACACCCTGACCCAATCCCTAGCCTCCATTACTAACCTATGACTTGGACAGCAATCCTAGTACTGGTTGTGCCCATACTGTTGGATGCCGTGACTGTCACGTTAAAGCTCCCGTGATCAGTGAATGTGTGATTCTGTTTCTGTGCCTTCGTGATTCCTGTCACATTGATGGGTTTAGAACCGTCACCAAAATCCCACAAGTACCACGTGCTGCCGGTTGAACCCTGCGAAATAAATATCAAGGAATTTAGACAGAATTCCTATCATTGCACTGCAATATTCTGTTCGTTTAACAAATGCAGGCACGGTCGACCTGTCATGAAAACGATACCTTTCAATATCATTTCAAAAGTAGTTGTCCTAATATCTGACTCTTAAAGAGTTCATAAGTACTTTTTCAGAAGTTTTAACTTTAATTCATCATATGATGGATTTTAAAAAAACTTTTTGATAATAAATCAATACCTGTTCTTGTTTCAGATTGAATGTAATAGGAATGTGAGCTGCCACAGTCGTCCGCTTGAGTACAATAGAGAGTCCAGAAGGAACTGTCAGGAGAGAAAAAACTAAATAAGGATCTTCTTCCTTTGGAAGTAAAAAAGAATATTAAGAGGATGCCGTAAGTTTCTTTGCATGCGTTGTTGGGGAAGCGAACAGGAGCAAGTCCATAAAATCCAGGAGCTAGCGAAGCAAAGAAGTAAGTAAAGTATTTTTTTTTCTTACTTCGGCCACCATGTTTTTTTCGATGGACCGCCTGATCAGATTTCTTCCTGTGCGATGATTCTCTCGTTTTTGATGAGCTGTCAAAAGGAGAATCACCTGGCACATAGGGCTATATATTTTCTTCCCTTCTGTTTCATACTATCATATATAACATAATCATAGTGTACCTTTTACGGGGCACAAAGTTTTCACTGGGTAAAAATCCTTTTCAATTCCTCCAACGCATCTGTCACCAGCGACTTTGCGATATCTAAAGAAACATAGTATAGCAAATTGAGAATGAAGAATGAATCTGAATTTACATAAACATCTAATGGCAATAACCTATAAACAACCCAATTGTAAGCCGTAGATAATGTGCAGGCAAGATACCGATTATTGACATAGTGATCTACGGCAACTGATAGATTTCTTTAGCTTTAGCATAGCTCGTTTCCCCCATTTCAGACCACACATTCTTCCCTTGAGAATAAAACCTGTTTGTAGAGGTGCATCCGCATTCACTAAAGTATCTATCCAAAACTTATTGATGAATAAAGATATAATACTCAAGGGAATGAATGGATTTTGTTCAGGGAGGGATGCTGCGCACGAAGTTAACCCAGGGAGGGGTGCACCCCTTAGAATCAAAGGGAAAAAGCAGTATTGGTTATCTTCGAAGTTCGTGCACAAAGTTGAACCAGGGAGGGGTGCGCACCCCCAGCACCCCTCCCCTGGATCCGCTCGCCCCTGTGATATTGTGTTATAAATCATTAATTAAAAGTAGTTATGAGAAAGAACATTGTGCAAACAGTTCTTTGCCATATTTACCCAGATGAGCGCATGTATGTCTGAAACTCAGGACACACTTTAGGTACGATGAGGTCTTCACTGATTGGAACACACGAGTCAGATATGTCATTATTTTGGAATCCAAAATCACTGAAATAAGATAAGTAAAACAATAGTCAGGGTTCAGGATCATCATTCCAGACTGAAATCCATGCTAACCATTTCTAAGGTTTCTAGCGACTTTGAAATGCACGGGAAGAGTACCTCACGTGGTGGTGGCCCAGTTCACGTTTCACGCGGATTTCTCTCGCAAATTCACGCATCACTCTGGGAATCTCGCTACACCAATGGTCATTTGGCTCTACTGCAAAAACTTACCACGTAAAATCTTCCAAGCTACAGTTACAAGACGTCTGGTTGATTTCTCGCTCATATTGTTTGCCATTGTAGCAGCAGATGTCAGCCTTACGACGTTCATACACCATGTGTTCACCTAACAGGCACTGCCCTTTCATTCTCTGCAAACAATTGAATAACAACATCAACATCATTAGGGGCGGATCCAGCGGTGGTAAAGTAGGTGACTAGTCACCCCTATCCTGCTCAATTTTCTCAGTATATCGTTAGTAACAATAACCCCCATTTTCCTCGCATTCCTGTTAAAACCTTTGTAATAGTCACCCCCCTTACTCAAATTTCACGGTATATCGTTAGTAACAGTCATCCCCCTTTGTCCTTGCATTCCTGGTAAAACCNACAGTCATCCCCCTTTGTCCTTGCATTCCTGGTAAAACCTTTGTAATAGTCACCCCCCTTACTCAAATTTCACGGTATATCGTTAGTAACAGTCAACCCCTTTGTCCTTGCATTCCTGGTAAAACCTTTGTAACAGTCACCCCCCTTACTCAAATTTCACGGTATATCGTTAGTAACAGTCATTCCCCTTTTTCCTTGCATTCCTGGTAAAACCTTTGTAACAGTCAACCCCCTTCTAAAATTCCTGGATCCGACGCTGATCGCGTGAGCAGAGTTAGGACAATTATTGGAGAATGATAAAGGGTGGCGATAAAGCGGTTGTTGTACGAGTGAGAAATGTACAGTACTGGCTTACAGCACGTAAACAGTAAAAATACCTTTTTCAGCAATTTTAGCTTTGATAAAACCAACACAACATAAGGCATAATAAACAAAAATTGTTTGAACCCAACTGAAACCAGTATGTAATGCATTCGTTAGTGGGAGAGAGTACGACTGCTTCAAGGATACAAACACAGTAAAACTAGAGAAGATACTTGCCTCGTCATTCGGTGTCCACAGAGTATAATCCTGATCTGTACATTTTCGTTCAAATACAGAAGAGAAGTTGAGCTTGACTGAAAGCCACTCAAAACTCTTGGTTAAATGTTGTCCAAAGATACTGATATAAAAAAAGAGTATTTGGTTATATGACAGACAGCTGGGATTTATGGCTTAAAGTAAGAATGGCTGGACTTGACATGACGCTATAGGTTGATTGTATGTTTGCTCGCATGCTTGCTTACTCATTTGCTTGTTTGTTTATTTGCTTGTCCGTCTGTCCGTTCGCATGCATTCAATGCTTGCTTATCCTGTCACACTTTCAAAAATCAGTTCTATTCTAGCCAAGATTCTCTCCCACTTTTCCAACTTACTTTGAAACCCAAGTTGTTTCTCCTGGTTCTGTCACAAGGCCATAAGCCCTAACATTCTTTTCCATTTCAATTGTACTCCAAAATTTTCCTTCTGTACAACTGTACCTGTAAAATTACAAATCAACATGAAAATATGTCTTTCTTGCTGTCAAAGCAGAACTGGGGTAGGGTCAGACAGGGCAGGGGGGTAACAGAGTAAAATGGGAAGGGGGAGGCGTGAAAGCAAGGCAGCAGCACCCTGCACCCTGAAAGTTTCCTTTCACACCAGTACATCACTAATGGTGGTGTCATAGGCATGGTATCAACAGACAGCATGTGTGTTGAGAGTGTTTGAAATGTTGTTTAATTTTCCCTTGCTACGAGGGTTTCACCACTTAGGGGACTGCAGTTTCTCCCCCCTCTATAATCATCAACCCACTGTGAGCTGAGACTCGTGTATATCATGAGTATTTATACTCTCTTGTGTGTATTCATTTATTGAGTAAATACACAGCAATAAACCTTACCAAACTTTCTTGGTGTAGTTCCCAAGTGCAACAGCAACGATTAATCCACCATGATCACCAAACACATAGTCATGTGATCCATTTAGTATCTAGATAACAAGGGAATAGTTTGATATTTAGTTCTACAAAACATCCATACTTCCTCTACATGGAGGGGGACTAAAATTGTCAAGGGGTGCAGGGGGTATATTGTGCTGGGTGGCCATGTTTTCATGCACTTGTCAGCCATTATCAGAATGGTTTATACATTACGATGAACTTTATCGAACTCCTCCATGGAGTGGGATTTAAAATGTCACGGGGTGGCAAGGGTCTGAAGAGGGTATGTCGACAAGTTCCAGAAAATATCCATACCTCCTCAGTGGAGGGGGATTAGAATTTCCAAGGAGTGGAGAGGGTCTGAGGAGTGTAAGGTGTGTAGTTCAAAACAAATATCCATCCCTTCCTGTGGGGGGGGGACTTATATTGTCAAGGGTCAGGGAAGAGGGTATATTGGTATTATAATAGCTCGCTTCCGAAATATGCTTCGCTTGTCACACACAAAGGTTTCAATGTGAGGCTTCACACATAATGCTCAGTGATTCATGAAACAAGAAAAGAATAAATTTAATTTTGCACGTAGCCTTGTACTCGAACCTTTGTCTGTGACAAGCAAAGCATATTTTGGACTAGGGCTATTATTAGCTTTTGTATTACGATTACCTTATTCCAGTGAAGTCCTCCATCAGAAGACAAATATACATCTGTTTCTTCATTTAAGTATCTTCCTACATTACCTACGATCACGAAAAATTGAAATAATTGTTTAGCTTGAATTGATTTTGTAATTGTCAGAAACAGCTAGTTGGACTGTACCTTGAGCCATGATAAGTCCAAGGGCAGATTCAGAGGACAGCACACTTGAAATCTGATAATACCTCTCACTGTGCACCATGTGCAAATTTAAACCACATTCAAGCTATAACCAAGTATAAAACAAAAAATGTTATGTGCTCTGACTTGATCAGCCCAGAGGTTGTTTC